ACTACCAGTTCCCCCGCCCACCCACACTACCAGTTCTCCCGCCCACCCACACTACCAGTTCTCCCGCCCACCCACAATACCTACCAGACCAGATCTAACATGTCAGTAAGCATACATCATGCTGAGCACCTGCGTCAGGTCATCATAGTCTGACAGTCTGGCTGGTGCTTTACTGGCTTGGTGGGGTTCTGGGAGTTCTTCTACTGCCCAAGCCCGGCCCGAGGCCAGGCTTGACTTGTGAGAGTTTGGTCCACCAGGCTGTTGCTTGGAGCGGCCCGCAGGCCCACATACCCACCACAGCCCGGTTGGTCCGGCACTCCTTGCAGGAAACAATCCAGTTTCCTCTTGAAGATGTCTACGGTTGTTCCGGCAATATTTCTTATACTCGCTGGGAGGACGTTGAACAAGTGCCTTGTTTAAGGTTCTTCTAAGCAGACTACATCAACGCTATTGTTTCCAATATACGTGACTAATCTGCCAGTTGTGCGCGCACACCATTTTAAAAACATAAGCATTAAGACACAAATTATCAGAATAAGTTTCAGATATCCGCCGAGACCGGCTCTCTCACACACCACATGTGTGTGAGGTGTGAGAGTGATGGAGACATCTCCTCCCTCAGTCTACAGTGACCTTGGACCATCATGATGGCTGACTTTAACACAACACAATAATTGATGCATGATCAAACACACACAAATGGTTCAGTGTTTGTAAAATACATAACAAAAATCAGAATTACTGTTTTCGACCTAAACCATCTAACACTACCGATTACTCAGGTGGAATTAATTATGTAATAGGTAATTGTGTCTTAGGGAGCCGGTCGGCCGAGTGGACAGCACACTGGACTTGTGATCCTGTGGTCCTGGGTTCGATCCCAGGCGCCGGCGAGAAACAATGGGCAGAGTTTCTTTCACCCTATGCCCCTGTTACCTAGCAGTAAAATAGGTACCTGGATGTTAGTCAGCTGTCACGGGCTGCTTCCTGGGGGTGGAGGCCTGGTCGAGGACCGGGCCGCGGGGATACTAAAGCCCCGAAATCATCTCAAGATAAGAGATAGACAATGATATCCAGGACCATTAGCACAAGAGGTAACTAGTGACCACTATGCCTCGTGTAGCACATACACCATCATATATGTCAAATCAAAACATTGATCTGTTTTGACAGAGAACCCGTCCCTGCCCTTGTGTGGCAGTGCACAGTACAAAGGTGTATTTACATATATCCGTACATTGAAACGTGTATACAGTCTAATGTAGTTGACTGTAACCATGATATATATGTGCATCAGCCTACAGCTTAGACCTATTGTGTTGTGTATGACCTTCTGTGACAGTCAATACCAGCATTATCCTCACTCTAATAAGACCTAATTGAATTCTTCAGATTAGGCAAATTGTAATTGTTGTCAATAAAGATGTTAATAATAATAACCCAAACATTATGACAGAACAAGAGTTAACATCTCTGACAACAACACAAGCACTACGAACACAAACTCTGCGATTGATTGATTGATGAAGATTAAGCCACCCAAGAGGTGGCACGGGGGGTCCGTCTAATTACCACAAGCTACCACAAACTACACAAACTTCAGAAAACTTCCTGGCAATACGTTAGTAATGAATAAATATGATATATTAAGTTAGGCTGACCTAACCTATCCTATCCTAACCTATCCTAACCTAACCTAACCTAACTTAACTTAACCTAACCTAACTTAACCAAACCTAACTTAACCAAACCTAACCTAACCTAACCGAAGCTTGGATCGTCGACTTGATTTGGCGTCACCAGCTTTTTATTTTCGTCTAATTTCTTTATAAAAAGATACTTTTTCAGATTAAAATTATGTTTTTTCGTGTTGTACATTCAGCACCAACATTATAATGAATAAATATATCATATTTATTCATTACTAACGTATTGCCAGGAAGCTTTCTGAAGTTTGTGTAGTTTGTGGTAGCTTGTGGTAATTAGACGGACCGGGCACGGGCATGAATAGCCCGTAAGTGGTGGACCTTTTGAGCCATTACCAGTATCAAGAGCTCATACTGGAGATCTGTGGAGGCGCAACTGCACCCTGCGTGACGGGAGATGTCTCCCGGACCAAATGGTGACCAAATGGTGCGGCCCATTGATTGACTGATTGATGAAGATTAAGCCACCCAAAAGGTGGCACGGGCATGAATAGCCCGTAAGTGGTGGCCCATTTGAACCATTACCAGTATCAATAGATGATACGGGAGATCTGTGGAGGTGCGACTGCACCCTGCGTGACGGGAGATGTCTCCCGTAAACGGCCCATTTGACCCGCGCCACATTTATACCTGGCGCCACCACCAGCCATGGCGGCAGCACGGGGGCCAGATTCCGCTACAAGTAGCGAATTGGGCTACTTTTGAATGCCCCCCCCCCCTTTGAGCTCCCAAATTTTTAATGTCGCTACTTGCGACTTTTTGGGTTAATTTAAAAGCAAGTTGGGCTAATTTGGGCTGTTAATGTTAACAAAACTCAATGATGATTATTTATGCTTTTATAATGCAATGTGTACAAATCACAGCCACTTCAAACAGCCTGATTGACTAGACCACTTATCACAGGAGGCTTGGTCAGAGACCGGGCCCCTGAGGACGTTGATCCTAGGAACCTTCAAAAGAAAAAGTAACCACAAGGCAAAGTAATCCTCCCCAGGGGCCAGAGATTTCCCAACCTTAATTGTCATTAATACTTCATCCCAAAAGCTACAGCTGGTCCACAGAGCTTCAGTAAGGGGAGAAAGTTATCTAGAAATGTACAGATTGATAAATGATGGGAAAGGTCCCTTACAGTTAATACCTTTGTCATGAAGACGATGGTTGGCAAGGAGCGGTAGTGTAAAGCGGCTGTTAGATCACTGGGAGTCTTTAACTCATTACCAATTCACTTCTTCCGCTTGTGATAAGTATGTTGCAAGGTAACTATTTTAAATGTACGCTGATCCCCCCAAATAAGCTATATTTCACATTTCTCAAATCAATCTTAAATGATTTTGAGAGGATGAATTGACTTTATCAAAAAGATGAAGCAGATCAGTACAGCCTTCACACTGTCTTAGAAATCTTCACTCTTGGAATGCTCAGAAGAGTCGTACATCCTCATCATGCAAAGTTTGATGCTAATTTGGACTACAATTCGATATATCTGCCCCTGGAGAAAGTGGACCTTGGTTACGAATTTTCAACACTTCAGGCCACTATCTTACCTTACCTTGAGATTACATTGAGGTGCTTCCGGGGCTTAGCGTCCCCGTGGCCCGGTCGTCGACCAGGCCTCAGTTACTGGACTGATCAACCAGGCTGTTGGACGCGGCTGCTCGCAGCCTGACGTATGAGTCACAGCCTGGTTGATCAGGTATCCTTTGGAGGTGCTTATCCAGTTCTCTCTTGAACACTGTGAGGGGTCGGCCAGTTATGCCCCTTATGTGTAGTGGAAGCGTGTTGAACAGTCTCGGGCCTCTGATGTTGATAGAGTTCTCTCGCAGAGTACCTGTTGCACCTCTGCTTTTCAACGGGGGTATTCTGCACATCCTGTCATGTCTTCTGGTCTCATGTGATGTTATTTCTGTGTGCAGGTTTGGGACCAGCCCCTCTAACATTTTCCACGTGTAAATTATTATGTATCTCTCCCGCCTGCGCTCAAGGGAGTACAGATTTAGGCTCTTTAGTCGGTCCCAGTAGTTTAGATGTTTTACTGAGTGGATTCTAGCAGTAAAGGATCTCTGCACGCTCTCCAGGTCAGCAATTTCTCCAGCTTTGAAAGGGGCTGTCATTGTGCAGCAGTACTCCACTCTAGAGAGCACAAGCGTTTTGAAAAGTATCATCATCGGTACAGCATCTCTGGTGTGAAAAGTTCTTGTTATCCAACCTGTCATTTTTTTGCAGTTGTGACTGACAAAACAATTTTATAACCCAGGAAAAGTTTCAAAAGATTCAAGATGCCATAATTTTTTAGTGAAAACCTGCAAATACCTTCCTTCTCGTATTCTAAGTAATGCTGAGACTTAAAAAAAGGTGAAAAATCTGTCACCTGTCATATACCTTAGCCACACATGGCCACCATTTTCAGAACTTCCATTAGTATTAGCTGACCAATCTAAGCTTAGTGAAACTGAAAGTTAGTGGCGTCAACTGTTAACCATTGACTGATCCAACATTTGTGAGGGACAAATTCCAACATGTGGATTGTAACTTTGGACCAAGACAATAACTGCCATGAACGCTGCTGTCGATCCCATACTGACTGATCTCGCTCAGTTGGCACTGAAACTATGTAAACTAAACTTGCAATGTATCTGTTATCATTTTATTAATTCTGCTAGAATTGACCTACTTAAAATTATCTGTTAGATTAAGGACCTGCCCGAAACGCTGCGCCTACTAGTGGCTTTACAAGATTGTAATACTATGCTATGTATTCTCTCAAACCCAATGGACCTTCTTATAAATAAATAAATAAATATATCTTACCAATCAGTAATGCCCTGGTTGAACGGATATTTTCAAGAGTAACATCTGTGAAAACTAAACTGAGAAATGAATGGGACTTGAGTTTTTGACATCAATCTTGAGAATCAAAACATATCCTGAAGAAAACGGAACTTGTTGTTCATCATTTGAACCACTCATGTCAGTACTTAAATATGAGTCTGTAATATACAAGAACGAGGTTGTGGATGCTGACGAAGAAGATCTTGATAATCTTCAACTGTGAAGACGTAGGACTGTCTGTCATGCTTCATACACAGCAAACATTGGTAGCTTATTCTATTATCATATATTTTTTTTAAATATATATATATATGTATGCAGAGATAATATTAACAAAACAATTAAAATCGTGTAGTGTACTCTATATATTAAAATATATTACTTTCAAACCTGTATCGGTCACTAAACAAAAAAATGGGCTACTATTCGCTACTTTTAGCCGGCCAGTTCGCTACTTTAGCAGTTTGTATGTGGCAAGGCTGCCGCGGGAGGGACCAGCTGACGCTGTAAACACAACACTCCGGGCCTCCCTCTACCACACTCTGGGCTGGACGTGGTGTAGTGTGGTGGGTCTCTACCTCTAACACACTCTGGGCCTCTACCACCACCACAACCCAACACACGTGTCATACTCATCATTCTCAAGACTGACGGGTCTCCCAACCTTGTACTGGTGGAGTCATCACCAGGATAAACTCATCATACACGCTGTACTTACCATCAAGAACACCAGAAGAAGTTATCATTTGACCAATATTAACTTTGCCGTATAATTCAATAAAGAATACTGTACGTGATAGTTACCTTATGTGAATTTATAATTCGTTATTATTATAAAGTCCCCATTTAGCCATTCATGAGCTGTATCATTGTGGATATAGGATAGGTGATATTTTAGTCATAGAAAATAATATTGTAGTGTAATGTGTCTCCTGGTTATACCTTGATGTTGTCTCAATGACTGGCTAATGGTTTTGCTTGCGGGATGCCGGGAAACATCTTAAGAGTTTTCCTATAGAGCTGTAAGACATCCCTCTTCTACAGTCTGCATTAATACAGTTCCCACATAAATTGCCTGCAGTCACAATGAACTCGATACTTACATTTTCCAGTTCGTTGAGTCCTGCATCGGATTGGCTGATAAGTGCCAAGATTTTCCCTCATGATCTGTGGCTCTTGCTCTCTTGAGGATGGCAAAAGAAATGTTGATTATTTTTGCCTCACTAGACTTTATTTTTTAATTATATCCATTGGGCAATGGGGCTTGAATGTTCCGCTCTAAGGCAACTGTTTTTTTTTTTTCTTACTACACTGGGTTAAGGAGGATCGGTGACGTGCGTCATCTGAGGTCATCGAGTAGTGATAGTTTTCTAGCCTGTTTTGTGTGTGGGTGTAGGTCCTGTGCCAGCCTCCCAGGCATCACTAGGAGTTTCCTACACTGTAGATATCTGCAGCGAGGCATAGTTCTGAGTCCATTAACAGATGTCATGCTGCCAGTTTTTTTTTTATTATTCTAAGAAGTGTAAGAAGCAGTGCTCAAAGCCCCCATAATCAACAGCAACAGCAGAATACAAAAACCTTTCTCCTAAACAGATGATTTTAATTGTCATAACTGATGCTATATTGCTAGAAAATTGTTTAACAGTACTGTATTTTTTAGATGGTACATTTTCAAAAAATTCAAATTCAAATGTTTATTTAGGTAAAATACATACATACAAGGGGTGATACAAAAATTGATGAATTTATAGATAGAGCTAGTATATACAATGCCTAAAGCCACTATTACGCAAAGCGTTTCGGGCAGATTTTGCAGTATTGCGGTGCGTTACCTCGTATCCAAATGGTGCAGTGCATAATCGGTGTGTAATAAAATAGCATTGCACCCTGTTGGTCTGTATCTAATAGAGAACCCCCCATTGGTCTGTATTACAGTAGCACAGTGCCCCATTAGTTTGAATTTAAATTTATTGCAGTTAAATTGTACACGGCCATTTTACATGCTTTTCATTTCATTGACATTTCAAAATGTCTGTAATATTCTTAAACCTATACCATTTGCTGATGATACTACCTTCATTTATTCATTTCCCAACCCCCACCACACTAAATAATATTGTAATACCAAATTAACCCTTACACTGCACAAAACGTCATATGATGTGTGACACTGAAGGGGGGGCTTTAATTTTAAAAAAATATTCAAATTATGTAAAAATTACTTAAAAATTTTAAACATATCTCCAACTTATTGGCTTCAGCTTCGTGAAACTTTCATCAAAATATTTTCAGAAATTGATTTTAGACAAACATTTAAAAAAAGAACGTTTTGTTGATAAGGAGAACAGCTCCTATTAACTGGAAGTGATGGATAATGCAGTAATAAAGAGATGCAAGCACCTGTCTGACACTCAAAGAAGAATAGTAGTAGTAAGAAGTGTCCACAGAGTGGATATACAGCTGGTGCCTTTACGCTATTGCTGAGTAATACATAATAACACAAATAATGAGGAGGAACTATGTTATTATGCTCTATTTTGTTATATATCATATAAACACATTGCCCAATGTTGTTATCAGTTACTTTCAATAATGTCAAAAACTTTTTTTTTTCTCCTTTGTTTATTATTTGAATTTGTTTTAACCTTTACATTCTGGAGAATGCATACTTGTTCCTAACTATGTGAAGCCAGAATTAAATTGGTCATCAAATAAATCACTTACAACTCTCAGAACTTGGGACTTTGAATTGTGTTTGGCTGATTGTTTCACGGATTTCGAACTCTCTTTTCCTTGTTTCTTTAGGTTGTTTTGATGATTAGGGACCAGATTAGGGCTTTTTTACTTATATAAAGTATACCCTAAATATATTCTCTAAATCCTTATAATTATTATAATTAACCCTATATATTTTTTTTTGGGGGGGGGGGGGTATTTTTTCTTGACTTCATTTCTACAGTCATTAACCTACAACTTTCACATACTTGAGTATGAATGCCAAACAATGTTTATTACAACATACAAGTAAAATCATGAGTTAGAACTGCCTTATTCATTGTCGATAACTTCAACTTCAGTTATATCTATAACTAGAATTTCAACTTACTCCTGTGTCCAAAAATCTAGTTTCTGACCGATTCCCACCATTTTTACATATAGTGTGCACAGCCGTCTGTTCTACAATCCCTATAGAATTGATTTTTCATAAACTAAACGTTTGGAGTTATAAATTTTTGTTGTCTAAATTTACGCATATTTCAAATGCCATACTGACAATTTTTTTTACAGTAAACTATACTGAAAACCTATATTCTAAATATATGAAAATGAAGATCATATATTATTCTGAGAGCATAATAACACCAAATGAACAGTTGGTTATATTTTTATATTTTTGCAGCCGATTTCAAAATCTGAAGTTTTCAGTATTCAATTTTATAATTATTTTTTATTTTCTTGTTTTTCAAGTTACACTGGTATCATTTAGACAAAGTTGGAGCATTTGCCTAGTAGATTATTCACAAAACATTTGAAAGGGTTTCAGGACATTTTAAAAACAGAGTTCAATGTCACACATCATATGAGGTTTTGCGTAGTTTAAGGGTTAAAGAAGTCTACAACTGGATGTTGACCAACAAACTCGCACTAAACATAGAAAAGGTTTACTACATTTAATTTGGAAGTAAATCATCACCAAATTCAACTTCAGGTAGACAATGTAAACATTTGGAATCAAAATAATGGAAAGTTCCTTTGCCTTTACATAGACAAGAGACTAAACTTTAGCACCCACATACAACACATGGCCAAAAAAAGTATCAAAAACTGTCGATGTACTCTTTCAAATCAGATATTATATTCCCACTGTGCTCTCCTTTCATTATATTGCTCACTAATCTATCCCTATTTTACGTGGTATCTGTGTAAGGGGTTCAACAACTGCACATTGCCTCAAGCCCATCATCACCCAGCACAAATCTGCTATCAGAACTATGAAAAACTCTGACTTCAGACAACACACAGACCCACTGTTTAAATCCCTAAACGTGCTAAACATACACTTACTCCACATATTCTTTTTTGGTATTTACATGTACAAAATCTTGTTCCTAAATACTAACCCTGATCTGAAACTCTTCCTTGAAAGATGTAATAGAACCCATGAGCACCACACCAGAAATAAATCTCTCTGCCATCCCAGAGTCAGACTAAATCTGTGCACACTCCATGCCAAATAAAAGGACTCGATCTATTGAAATTGCTCACTAACAAATTAAAAACATTTCCAACTAAAAATAAGTGCATGGGCAATGCAGTGATTTTTTTTTTTTTTATATGTGTGCCAAAATTTGAATATGCAGCAGAGATGTATTGCCAATAATTCAAAATGTAGCTGAATTAGAAAAAATCAATATAATTGAGAAACACCAAGATAGAAAAAAATATTGCAGTACTGTATTTCTTAAATAATAGAGTAGGTAATAAGGGTTGGGACAACCTTCTGGAAAAAGTTGTATGTGCCAAACTGTTGTTAGTTGTAAGAGTGCATTTTTCTAACACTTATAAGACAGGGATGCCAGAGGTTGCAGGTGACTGACTCGCTTGCCTTTGCCAACATGAGTAAAATAATACAAATAATGAATTTTGTTGAGGTCAGGAAGCCTGTGTATATATATATACTCTAGGCTTCTATCAAAGGCTGAGGCCTATATTCCAACATTTAAAAAAAAACTGAATTGGCATATGGCAACAATTAGTATTGAGGCATTGCTACTTGCTCTTTGCATCTGGTACACGAGCATCTCAAGTATTTAAGCGTAGTCATAGCAGTGAATGGATTCATTAAGTCGGCTGCTCTTAAATTCTACATATTACTCACGTGGTTTATATTTTGATATTTGTTGCTTCACTCTTAAGTGTTGACCAAACCACACACACTAGAAATTAAAGAGACGATGACATTTTGGTCCGTCCTGGACCATTATCAAGTCGCTTGTGATATGACGATAGAGCCCTTGCCTCCCTCATCCCTCCTTTCTAAGTGTTGTTTGTCTTTCAGAGGCACAATGTTGAGACGACCTCGTGCAGATGAATCGGACGATGACCTCTTGCGCCAAGAGGAGGAGTTGATGTCCCGTGGTACTTTTCAACCAGCTGCTACACTTGTCAAGCCTAACAAACGAAAAACAAATGACTTGGCCTCTGAAAGGCTGTCGGGTACTGTATTTAGACTACTAATAGGTTGTCATTTTTCAATGGTTACATTTACTGTTTTATCTTTATTTTCATATTATTTCATATGGAGTGCTATATAAAATATTTTTTTGTTTAGTAAATACTGTTTGTGTTGTTTTTAATTTCTTAACTGATGTAATTTCTGTGACTTCCTCAGTAGTTCTTTGGTGCTTCCACACTGATCTCTTACTGCCACCTGCTCTGCATGTTCCCACAGTTTCTCCTGTCTGTACAGGCAGTAGCTCCTTGGAGCTTCCACACTGATCTCTCACTGTCACCTGCTGTCTGCACAGGCTTGACTAGACAATGCTTTTGAAATGCACCTATTTTCTGTGGCGAGCCACTTCGGCTCCCTGGAGCTATAACGGGTTGATGTGTGTATATTAGACCATGGCAACAGTCAATCGATGGAGTTCTAGGCCTACCAGGGATCAACGCCAGAACCTGGCCCCCTCAGAGAAGCACGAGGAGCAGTGGCCTATAGACACCCCTGTGTAGTTGGCAGCAGTCTTTATCTGCCCTCTCCCAGGTCAGGCACCCAGAAAGGTAGGAGTCCCAAAACAAACTACAGCTGTTGAAAAATTGCTAAGTGAAAGCCGAACGAGTAAACAGAACTCCCCAATCAGAAAACAAGTAAACAAGCATGACGTCACCACAGCCACTGCGCCGCGGGGGTTGGTGGGGGTCCTACACCAGGCAGACCCCCACCAGCCGGGGGTTGGTGGGGGTCCTACACCAGGCAGACCCCCACCAGCCGGGGGTTGGTGGGGGTCCTACACCAGGCAGACCCCCACCAGCCGGGGGTTGGTGGGGTCCTACACCAGGCAGACCCCCACCAGCCGGGGGTTGGTGGGGGTCCTACACCAGGCAGACCCCCACCAAGCAAAACAAAACAAAGGAAAAAAAGCCTGCAAAAACACAAGATCCCAAGGGGAAGAGAACTGGCTGCGATACATATATTAGACAGCTGCACAGTACCTTGCACTCCAGTCAGCGATGATACTACCTCCTACCAAAGGGCAAACAGGAGTAAGAACAACCCCAGCTGAACCCAAGGGCGGACAATCACTGAGCAGCAAAAGAACGACATGGAGGTAGTCTCCTGAACGGCCTATGGAAGATAACCCTAAACCGCAAGGGCACTACTTACAGGGCACCTAGGGAAGGTGGCCCTAGGCACATGCAGCCCCAGTACTCTTGTGTTATTCCTGGCTAACACACCACCACACACAACACCGCTATGGACAGCACTGCTCAGAAGGATGGAGCAGTGCTGTTGTGTTTGGTGGCAGTCGATCGACTGCCACCAAACACAACAGCCAGTGACCTGGGGTTAGGTATCTGGTGTGGAAGGTCTGGGACCCCCCCCCCCTCCTCTCAGGGAGGGGGTAGTTGTGCAGACAGAGGCGCAGCAACTGTGGTGACGTCATTCTTCTTTACTTGTTTTCTGACTGGGGTGTTTACTCATTCGGCTTTTGGTTAGCAATTTTTCACCAACTGTAGTTTGTTTTGGGACTCCTACCTTTCTGGGTGCCTGACCTGGTAGATGGTAGATATAGTCTGCGGCCAACTACACGAGGGTGTCTATAGGCCATTGCTCCTCGTGCCTCTCTGAAGGGACCTGGTTCTGTCACTGGTCCCCAGTAGGCCTAGAACTCCATCGATTGACTATTGCCACTGTCTAATATATCTACACATCAGCCTGGTATAGCTCTGGGGAGCCTCCGGATCTCGCCTAGAAAATGGCGTTTCATTATATTCAATGCTGGTACATGTACAGTACATGTAAAATCAAATCTCTGAATTTCATTCTGGGATGAAATAATATGGAATTTTTAATTTGATATACTGTACTAATAACATAGTGGCCATTGCTTCAGTTTTCATTCATAATTTTAGAATCTCTTTAAATTGTTATTACTGGAACTTGCTAACGATTAACAATAATAAAATTATTAATACATCATATCTACACGTGTCAATTACATAATATGAAATTCCATATTTCAGATAATGAGTTGCCCTCCACACGCAGGTCCAAGTTTGCCCAAGACCGTGCTGCTAAGAAAAAGAAGGCGAGCATTGTTGATAATACTGTACTGACAGAAGCTAGTGAGTACAGTACATCACATTCTGTTGTCTTCAAAAGATAAGTATCTGGAGGTTTATTGGATCACACGATACTGTTATGTAAGACTGAGTGGTAAGAGATGGTAGTACTGTACCTTGCAAGGGTCCAAGAAGTGAAAATAAAAGTTATGAAGCCGAGACTTGATAGTGATCTTGAAGCAAGACACTGAACAAATGAGCCTCGGTTACATGTGACGTATACAAGGAAGGCTTGGTTAAGTGTCGAGTGTGTTTGGCGTTGGACAAACTGGTAGAAGAATGTGAGGAACAGCTTAGTGGCATGAGGAGGAAGTACAGTAGCAAGAACATTCATACTAATACACTATACACATATACTGTGTAGTATATATTTATAAGCCTAATTCTTATAATTGTACATTAGCACACATTTTGCCTGTAAATATATACATGGTAATCACTCATTTGCTATTGTTAAAAGTTCAGGGGGTTCAATGGCTCCCCCAAGGTACCATGCTGACACTAATTTTCATGAGTAGACATTATAGAGGACACAGTAAACCTCCAATCTGATGTTAATCAAGTCTTTCAATGGGCCACAGAAAATATGATGTTTAACCACCGCACTGCGCAAAGCACCTGTAGGCACTAGATCGGGGGTGCACAGTGTGCCTGTGGGCGCTCATAGGTATAGCATAGCATTCAAACCTCCCGTGGCTACACAGAGTTCACATCAGCTTCCTCAGGGCTCTTGTAAACAGATGGCATTTTTTTTTTTTTTTTTAAATAGTGGGCAACATTCCCGGGTGTGAGAGCCTCAGTACTGAGTGAGCAACCAAGGTTGGCGCATGCAGCATGAGCTAACAGAACTGCTGTTCACTTTGTGACCACAGCATCGCCTAAAACTTTCAAATTATATGTGTACAGTAACTGGTATTATTTAGCCATGATAGTATTACAGAAGAGCCTGACTGTGATAAAGACTGTACAATGTTCAGACATCAGTGAATCAATGCTGTTCAAGATGTTCACAGCGCTAGCCACAGCACACTACAATATTTCGTCCATCTAAGAATCTTCAAATGACTTCTCATGTTCCTTTACAAAATAAACTTGTGGAAAATTATTCATTTACAGGATTTAGTGATCAGTATTCTGATAATAGCAGGATTGTGGTGATAGAGCATTGTAGTATTGTGGGAGGATGAATTTTGGTGAGGAGGGAGGGAATCGAGGTAGTGTCACTGTGTAGCAGCCACCCTTGTTTGGGCTCACCATACTAGCTTAGTGGTTCACTATGGTGAACACAAATGTAGATACTTATATATAACGTGTGTGTGTATAGTGTAATAACAGCAACAGGAGTATGTTGGGAGGAGCCATTTTGGTGAGGGAGGTGGCGTCGTACTCGTAGCGTCGTCGTCTGCTGTGTGACTTGTCATGCAGTGTATGACACCCCTGTGGTGGCCACTGTGCTGTTTGGACACAATACCAGCTTAGTTGTATAGTTATGGTGAATAAAACATGTAGATACTTATACTCAATGTGTGTAAATATTATAATAAAAACTATAACAGTATGGTGGGAGGAGGAATGTTGGTGGGTATGGTGTTGGAGAAGTGAGGGAGGGCTGGCTGGGTGTGGCAACTCTCTCTTGTTTTTTGGGCTCACCATACCATATTATGGAATGTGAAAAAATCACGGACTTTAGAGATAACGCCATCAATAGTGTCTAAGAAATGTGTAATTTCATGTGTGAACTTCATTCATAATGATGTGCTGCCTGAAATCTTAGCGAAGTATCCAAAATTTGCTTACTGTAGGTAATGCATGCACATGACTGTAAAGCTGCTGCCTAGTTGGGTGGGTGTGCAGCAAGACTAGTAACTGTGTAACTCACTATAGATGTAAAGTGCCGTGTATAGTGACTTGTGACCCTCTTGCTGAATCACTTGTGACACAAAAGATTATTGATGTGTGTATTTGTGTGGGTGATTAAATATGTATGTGTATGTACATATGTGTACATATATATGTACATGTATGTATGAGTATGTGTACATGTATATATAGCATTAATAATTTTGTAATTAGCATCAAAAGATTGTTATTTGCTTAGCTAAACAAACTAGAGGGTTCAGTTCCTGAACCGATTATGTGCCTCTGTAATCCTTTACACCACCGTCCACGGGATGGGTATGTGGTGCATAATAAAGAAAGAAATTAAATTGATTGATTGTAGAATATAATATATATATGTCACACATGAGCCCCATAATTTTGAGCATAGTGATGTTCCACACATTGAACTATATAAATTCCACAAATTGCACACTTGATATTTTTAGTATTATTTTATTAATATTTTCACTTTTTATTATTATTTTCATTATTTTTCATCCATTTGGCTTAGTGGATGGCAGATGCTTCCTACTGTACCTTTCAGGAAGCATTTACTCTATTATGAGATTGTGCAGTACTTGTATGTAATCCTTGCACTCTGAGGCCCACACGACTCCCAAGGTGCTGTAATGTTGTGTAACTTGCAGCTTTGCCTGAGAAGAAGGTCACGGTTCTTGGCCGGATCATCGAGCGTGCAGTACCACCTGACCATAGTCTCCTAGAATGGCACCCTACATTAAGTCCCCATGGCTTTCCTAAGGTCCAGAGACTGCATAATTTGGTAAGTGTTAACAGAACTTATATCAATGTTAATTCCTGTTTGTATAGTACTGTATAGGTTTTGAAAATCGTTTTTAGGTCGTAGAGTGACTTAACTCACAATCTGGCGATTCCCAGATGCCTCCCTTAACCAACTCAGTCACGGTGGTACAAAAGTTGACCAACCTAGAACTCTATTGAATTCTGGGAGGCTCTGGAGACCTCAAACTGGGGCCCAACCAGGGTTTTACAGCCAACCCGACCACACTCGGGCCTATGGTAATGGCGTTCACTCTCTTACGCCTCGGTCAGATTGCAATGAAATCACAATGGTGTGATATACCAATGAAAATCATTTTGTGGCAATGGAGTGACTTGAACTCACGATCTGATGATTCCCAGATGCCTACCTGAACCGTCTCAGCTACGGTGGTACAAAAGTTTTTCATTGATACATCACACCATTGTCATTTCATTGTGATCTGACCGGGGCATAAAAGTGTCAACGCGATTACGGTAGACGAAAGTGTGGTCGGGTTGGCTGTAAAAGCCTGATTTGGCCCTGGTTTGGGGCCTTCAGAACCTCCCAGATGACTCAGTAGAGTTCTAGGTTGGTCAACTTTTGTACCACTGTGGCTGAGTCGGTTAAGGTAGGCATCTGAGAATCACCAGACCCCGAGTTCAAGTCACTCCATGGTGATTTCATTGCAAGTATAGGTTTTATATATACAGGTAATGTATAGTATACATTACCTGTATTGCATGTAAAATGAATTAATGTAATTACTTATGTATAGTTACAGGATGAGAGCCATGTTTGTGCTGTCTTGTCTTTCAACTACTGTCATGTGATGCTTTGAAACTACAGTGCTAGCTGTTTTGGGTTCCACTGCCTACTCACTTACCTTGGTCTAACCATCTACTACTCTGTTCGCAACAGATAACTTTCTAATATTTTTTGACACCTTTGTTTTCTTAGCTTGAATATATAATCTCTTATTCTTGAAGTTGCAGGTTTCAAGAATTCCTCTGTCAATCTTTTTCGATTCGTTACTCTTTTGCATGTAGTGAACATATCACTTCTATTTAGTTAAATCTTCTAGCTTTGACATATTTAACACCTCTACCCTCTCCCTCGTAGCTCGTTTCTCAGTTCTGGGAGTCATTTCATACCATATCTTTGCACATTTTCCTGTATACTGTATTGATGTGCTTCTTGTAATATGGAGACCATCCATACAACTACTTCATATTCCAATTTTGGTCTCACGAAGGTTGTGAACAGTTTCTTTAATATTTCACCATGCATATATTTAAAAGTGATTCTACAGTTAGAAAGCAGACACATGCTCCTCGCAGCGTCCTGTGTGTGGTCCTCTGGTAAGAGTCTACTATCCACAACCATCCCTAGAGCTTTTTTTCTGTCAACAGTTCTTTAATGCCTTTCCACTTAATTGTCGTTGGGGTTTTTGCATCATTGTCGAATTGAGGGTGGAGCAGCTGGCTGACTCCTGGCTGCTTCCTGCCACTGCCCCCCACCCCCAAACGATGAGAGGGTGGGGAGAAGGAGCTGGCGCTAGTTTCATGACATTTACGATTGTTTGTTTACATTGTTTGGAGACTTCTATGGCCATTTTGCAGCCTTGCGTGTGGCCAGCAGTGGTTTGTTTTGACTCGCTGAGTTTCTGGATGCCTTCCTCGGTGGCGACGTAAATGAATAACTTGATACATAAATACCAAAGCTCTCTGCACATCTGTGAGGGTGGGGTGGGGGGGGGTGTGCAAGTTCTGGCTCGTGTTCCCTCGTAGACCGTAGAACTCCATGACTGATGGCACCCACATCAGAGACAGTAGCTTCATGGAGTCACTGTGGCTCACCCAGAAATTGGCATTTCATTACATTGAATACTGGTTTTTGTGTATTTTGATTTTAATCGAGTACTGTACAGTATAAATTACAATAGAACATTATACTGTGTAAATAATCAACATAATAAATTAAGCTGTAAAATGTAATTTTTGTTTCCAGAATAGCACAAGTAATTGTGCTCCCGGAACAAAGAAGAAATCACTATACATGCAGCAGTTAGAAAGACAAGGCCAGTCAGAGAGGAAAGTGAAAGGTTCCCATAGTGATACTCTCAGCAGTACGAGTCTGCTACCTGCAGGCGGCACCCTGCCAGATTCTGCGCTCTCAGCCTTGGGTAAGATGACATACGAGCACATCATTTTGTGGCATGTTGTCTCAGTAATATGTTAATGTTATTATTTTTCAGCTTGACTTTTTGCCCAATGGCATGCTCTGGAACATTTCTTTCCTTCTCTCTGGTGGGAGTCTCCATGTGGCTCCCTATAGCTATCTTGCTCAGGAGATGGCCCCAAACTACTAGATTGCATCAGCTGTGCAGATGAGTTTGGCCTACTACGAACCAGAGCCAGAACCTAGTCCCCCCCCCCCTCCTCCTCACAGAGGCACTGGAAGCCAGTGGCATTCCACCATCTCACCAGGGAAGGCACCCAGAAAGTCGGATAAACCTCATTTATCTTTGCAAACACACAGAGTTTAAAAACGAATGCAAAAAATAAAATACCGTTCAAAATTGGCCTCCTCACAGAGGCAAATGCAGTATTTGGAGCTTTCTACAGAAATCCATGCAGGGAAAGTTATGGACAGTGAGATCTGGATACCAGAATAGAATCTATATAAATGTGATGGGTAAATAGGTCACTTGGAGTAGGCTTGTATATTAGAGAAGTCCTTATATGCTCGGAGCTCCTTAACTTTACAAATGGGGTGTTAAAAGTATTGAGAGTAAAAATAGAGAAAATAAATTTAGTTATAATTCTAATATACAAACTGACACATTTAAAGGATGAGGAATTCACAGAACAGATTAATAAAATAGAGAATAGCCTCGATAATCTGGTAAAACCCAATACCAGGTATTGTCTGTCTATTACATTTCCTCCTGCCTAGTCTAAAATGGAGAATAGCAAACAATAATGTTTTACCAGGAAATCCATCAGAAAATAACCTACCACAGATTAGAGAACTACAATACTTCAATTCAATGACAAATTTTTGTTCATCCAGCAAATAACAGCCAAAAAGGGCTGAAAATATTCTAGATCTGATCTTCACAAACAACGAAGAAGTAATCAGGGACATTACATTCTCAGATACCACATAATCAGATCACAAGCTCATTGAAGTGTAAATTAACATTAATACCCATTCCACAATTTGATTTGTGGAATCATTGGAAGAGGAGAGGATTATTACATCGAGCAAGAAGAGCCATGAACTGGAGTTGAATCAGCCACAGAGGAATCAGCACAGAGAGGAGCTACAACTGAGGACAGGTTCCATCAATTTCAGTAGAAGTGAAAAGCAGCTTTCATTACTGCATGCTCTAGTATTGGTAACAATGGCTGAATACCGGTAAATTTACCATACCATCACATTTTTCTATAAACTATTATTTGTTTTCCAAAACCTTACAATTTTCCTTACTGCTATTTGTTCATTTTCAGGCAGTCGGAGTTATGTCCTCACTGGAGATGGAGTTCTCCAAAACAAATCTGAAGTAGACGACATACATAAACAAAATATTGATAGGATTGCAAGCATGAGCCATGAAGATCGAATAAAAGAACAGCAAGAACTCCTTTCCCACTTAAGCCAAGAGAAGATTGCCTTCCTTCGATCTCTCCGCATTAAAAGGGAAAATGCAGAAAAGACTGGAGAAAATGGTACAGCATCGTTATATCAGTCAAGCACACTAGAGCACAATGAAAATGTGAAGTCCATAATAATGGAAAGTGAAGACTCCAAAACTAGAGTACAAGATGATGATTTGGCTGACTCTTCCACCTCTCTACCCTGCAGGCAGCCCTCATGTGAAGAATCAAGCACCAGTGATGAGACTCGTAAGGTTAAGTTTTCTGATGATGTTGACATGAAGGAAATAAGCAGTGATGATGAAACCATTCCAGAGTCTGAGTTACCAATCCCTCCATCAGAAGCCCGCAAATGGCTCCACATGGACAAGGTAAATGTTAAATCCTATTCAGCTTGGGGAAAAATGTGATTAGTAGTTAATACTTTTAATTATCAGATGTATCAATTTATTGAAGTAGCCAAAAGGAGTACAACAATTATTTTTGTTTTTATTTTTAAGAGTTGTTGATTTTTTCTTCTCCTCCTCCTGTTGTTAGGTTGACCTATAAATGTTGGAGTACTGGAGACTTAATAAGATTGAAGAGGTTTAAAGGAATGTGAAGAAATAACATTAAGCCACATTTCTACCTATAAATACTTGTTTTTAAAATCTTGAGTGTTGAAGAGAGAGAGAATAAGGGGCACCTTGCTAGCTTCCATGTACATTCTTGTTCTCACCATCATTGTTTCAGCAGAGATGGGCAGGTTTCACAAGCACAGTGACCCCCTCCCCTGCCTTGTTGCCATGGGTAGAAAGGCCGCTCAATTACCTGATATAATATCGATGTTGAGGGGTGACCCAGAGTCGGCTGCAAACAAGGGAAGTTACCGAGGTGTCGTCCAGAGAGGAACATTTCATTACGCTCGATACTATTTTGCTCGTTCATAATATTGTCCTCGCCTTGGAAAATTAATGCACAGCTGAATGTGAATATTCAGAGTAAATGTCATGTTAATCTGATATTTTGATTCTTAATATTTTTAGGTTGACATGGAGAAGCTGAAATGGATGACAAGTATGCCCAAGCCAAGACCCCTAAAGGACAAAGAGGGTTTTATTGCAAGGTTCAACTTTGAGGGTGACATCTTGCCTTATGATGCAGATATATCCTATAGAGAAGGGTTGCATCATCATGGAGAGGAGCCAGGTATGTTGATGACTTTCTCCACCTCTTATTACTCCTAATTATCACCACTACCACCCCTTCCACCCCTGCTTTCATCATGGAGTGATAAATCTTTCACCTAGAGAAGTTGCAAGATTACTTTTTTTTTTTTTTTATGGGAACCAAAGAACAGGCAGTTCCCACTTTACAAACATTCGCCTTGCAAACATTTGTCCATATGAATACTCTCCCAGGTCCCCATGTACCCCCTTCATACATAAAATCATTATATTAACTCACTGGAGCGTCTCCTTTGAATTTGGTGGCAGTGCAAATGTCCGTGTGGCTGCCACAAGGCGGAGTACAGTATTGTACAAAACCATCTGCACGGCCCACTGGGTGGCAGGGCAAGTGAGTGTATTTACTATTTATGCCTATGGGTGGTCTTTGCACCTTTTCCAGTTTGTTGATGTGTTTCTTAAGATATAGACACCATACAATCGCTGCATATTCCAACTTAGGTCTAAGAAAAGTCATGAACCATCCATGTATTTAAAAGCAATTCTGAAATTAGAAAGTGTAGCATAGGCTCCTCACACGATGTTCATTGTGGTCCTCAGATCTCTTTCTTTATCAGAATTTGTTAAAGATTTTTCACATAATTTGTAGGTTGTGTGTGGCCTATGTTCTCCTATTCCACATTTCATAACATGGCATTTATTAACATTAAATTCCATTTGCCAAGTGGTGCTCCATACACTTATTTTGTCCAGGTCTTCTTGAAGGGCATGATAATTGTCTAAGTTTCTTACTTTCCATATTATCTTAATATCATCAACAAACATGTTCATAAAATTCTGTATTCCATGTGGTAAGTCGTTTATGTAGACAATGAACATTACCGGTGCAAGAACTGAACTCTGTGGTACTCCACATTTCTCCAGTTCATTACATTGCCTCTGATTACTGCCCTCATTTATCTGTCACAAACATTTTCATCCATGTTAGAAGCTTCCCTGTCACTCCTTCAGTATGTTCCAGTTTCCAGAACAACCTTTTATGTGGAACTCTGTTGAAAGCTTTTTCTGTGGGGAGCCCCCGTCGGCTCCCTGGAGCTATCGGACTGATATGCGATATATTAGTCTGGGGCATCAGTCAATTGGAGGTCAGCCTATTAGGGACCATGAGCCAGAACCTGGCCCCCTCAGAGAGGCAAAGAAAGTAATGGCCTATGGACACCCCATGTGGTTGGGTGCATTCCATGTCTGGCATTGACCAGGGTTAGGCACCCAGAAAGGTAGGCATAACAAAACAAGCCCCACTTGGTAAGAAAAATGCAACCGAAGACCGAACAGAGAGGCAGAACTCCCCCCCAACACACAAGGAAACAAGCAAACGTCATAAACATGCAGTCCGCCCCCCCCCCCCCCGAGAGAGGAGGGGGTGGGGAGACACTTGCCCCGCACCGGCTACTATCCCAGTTTGTTGGCTGATACAATCTAGGGCGGTTGTAACTTTGGCCTTGGTTTCTTGGCAGTGTTGTGCCTTAGTGGTGTTCTCTGCTGTTTGTGGTGTGGTGGCCATGTGTAACATCAGTGTACTGGGGCTGCATGCACTTAGGGTTGCCTTCCCTAAGTGCTCTGTAAGTACTACCCTTGGGTGCTACCCTTCCATGGTGCCTTTGGGACTTCACTTCCATAGGGGTTCTTGCTGCTCGGCATTTATCCTGCCATTGGGGCCAGCTGGGGTTTTGTGGCCTATGTTTGGCCTTGGGTAGGAAGTGGTGCTGTTTGCTGGTAGAGGCGCAAGGTGCTGTGCAGCTTGCTTACCAACACAGTGGCCATGTTCCTGTTCCGTCTGGGGATGTTGTACTTTTGCAGGGGTTTTCTTTTCTTTTTGTTTTTCTTGCCTGGAGGGGTCTGCCTTCTTTGGCTATTGGTCCACTTCAGGAATTTTGGTGGCCCTCCTCTAGGCCCCCATGATTGTATACATCGCAGGGGTTCAGTTTTAGCTCATTCCCTTTTGTTAGTTACTTGGGTTTAACTGGTTTTGCAGCATCTTGCCTGGGCTTCCCGTAGCAGTCAGTGGGAAAACCCCGTTGGGGCTTGGTAGACTGATGGATGCGTCTTCCGAGTTTTGAGGTGCTTACCTTTCTGGGTGCCTGTCCCGGTCGATGGCAAATATAGAATGCTCCAAAATCACATGTGCATTTCTATGGCCCATTACTCCTCGTGACTCTCCAAGAGGGCCAGGTTCTGGCCGTGCTCCCCAATAGGCTTAGGATCCATCCACATCGACTGATACCAAAAGTTAGGACTATCCCTATCAGCCTGGATAGCTCCAGGGAACCTCCTGGACTCACCCAAAAAATGGCATTTCATTACATTCAATGCTTTTTTTTATTATTATTTTTTTTTTTTTTTTGTGGTTTTTGACATCCAGCCTTAGAACTGCAGATGGGATAGTTGACACTGGAGGCTGGGACTCCCCCTTCCCCCCTCCCAAGGAGGGGTGGGGGGGGTTGTGCAGACAGAGGCGCAGCGACGTGGTGACATCATGCTTGTTCGCTCATTTTCATTTGGGGAGTTCTGTCCACTAGTTCGGCTTTCAGTAGCAATATTTTAACCAGAATAGGGGGTTTGTTTTGGGGCGCTTACCTTTCTGGGTGCCTAACTTGGTCGATGGCAGACATAGAATGCTGCCAACCACACAGGGGTTTCTATAGGCCATTGCTCTTTGTGCCTTTCTGAGAGGCCAGGTTCTGGCTTGTGATCCCCGGTAGGCCTAGAACTCCATGTGCATTGATTAATGCCAGGGTCTAATACATTCATATCAGCCCGGTTAACTCCGGGAGGCCTCCGGGTCTCGCCCAGAAAGATGTGTTTCATTACATGCAACACTGGTTTTTTATCTTGTGCCTAATGAAATATTCTCAAATCTTCCATAATTTCAGGTCGAGCCGGCTACACTCTTGATGAACTTTTCACACTCATACGTTCGCAAGTGCTGCAGCAGCGTCACGTTGGCTTACGTACTTTGGCTAACATCCTCAGGAATGCCAAGGAAGGCCTTTATGATACATGTGTCAGCCCCCCTGTATTACAGCTAGCAGTAAGATCAAATATTGTTTTAAATATTTGTTATGATCTTCAGTACTTATTCAAATCTAATGCATTAATGGTGTCAATTTTCTGTGGCTCTCTGAAGCTATAATGCGGATTTAGTGCCAAATTACTATGAATTCCACAACTGTACCACCAGTTGCGGAATTCTTTTTGGCCTACCAAAGACCACGAGCCAGTACCTGCGCCCCCTACAAGGAGGCACCAAGAGCAGTAGCACTATAAAACAATTGACTGAATATTAACGATGTTTGCCACCAACAGGGAAGCATCCCAGAAACTCAGCATAATATAACAGATCACTTCTGGTTAGAAGCAAGACCAATGCCTCAATATCACTAAAAGAACCCAACTATGTAAACAAATGATAAAAAATTCATGAAACTTGCATGAGATAATTTGCCTCGCCTCTGCCCCTTGTCTGGGGGGGAGGAGGGCGGCAGACTGGGTCAACTGGCTGCTCCACCCTCAGTTCTTTGCTGATGGTAGATGTGAGGTGCCGCCCTCTGTCACTCTGGCTCCCGTGTTCTGCTTTGGCCAAGTGGTGGTGGTTTTTTCTTTGTGGCTGTTTCAACACATGTTTGTGCTGTGTGAGCCGGGAGTGTAGGGTACTTTATGCCTGAAACGCTGTGTGTATTAGAGGCCTTAGGCAGAGTATATACTTGTTCTATCTAGAAATCCAACATTGTTCTTGTGATTCATTTTGTATGTATGTACTTTTCCCAAAATAACATTATTATTGCAGAGGAACCTCGGTATTTGCACTGCTCCCAATCTGCACTTTTCGGCATTCAGGCGCCGTGTTCATGTTCGGTATTTGTCCGTTTGCTCGACATTGAGACGTAAACACGTGACCGTGACACATTAGTATCGCCATAGCTGTCACTCAGTGCACAACCCACTACTATTTTCTCTTAGATATTTTGGATATTATTGGTGTAAATAAGTCACCATGTCACCTAAGAAATTTTATGGTAAGAGCCAAGCAAAAAGGTAAATCGTTAGAACCATGATAGAGATGAAGAAAGAACTTGTAACTAAATATGAATGTGGTGCCTGTTTGTCTGTTCTTGCTACCGAATTTGGTATGACTAAATCTAGTTCTCTAATAAAAGAAATGTGTGCAAAATGGGGAAGGGAAAAGTTTTCTTGAAAAATATCACTCTGACCGAGCTGTGATAATGGTAGGGGGGCTCCCAAAGAATCTCTCTCCCTCACTACCTTCCACATGTGTCAACATCTCTCCTGAATGAATGTAAAGTATATACAGTACTGTATTTGTATTTATTTCATATATTTATTGTATAAATATACTGTGTTTATTTTTGTGGTCTAAAACATTAATCCAATTTACATTACTCCTTATGGAAAAAACTGTTCGGCATTCATCTCGCCTTCAGGAGTCAATTAAATCTGAATACCGAGGTTCTGTTGTATTATTATTATTATTATTATTGTTTTTGTTATTATAATAATAGTAATCCTAAATAATACTACTACTGTACTTGGAGCTGCATGTGCACAGGGTTTTTTTCCCCATGTGCTGTTTTCCGTTTTCCCTGGGGTTGGGAGCCACATTTTGGCTGGCGGACCACACTGGGGTTTGTGCGACCTAACCAAGACACACTGAGGTCGACTTTTTCAGCCTCAGGTGAGCTGTGTTTGTCTACTCTTAACCATACGACTACTCATTGTCCATATGACTCTTACCCCATTCGTATACCAATAAATAGAGACTTCCCTTCTATAGAAGACCTGTTTCCTATTCCTGGATTCTGGTGTAGTGATCCCAGTGCCTAGGCTTCGTGTCGGGCCATTACATGAAGACCCTGGAAAAAAAGCTGCAGGTTTAATGGTGCAATGGATATCCGTGCCGAACCTGCTCTCACCATGTGCGAGTACGAGAGTTGTGTGTCGTCTGTGCCACGTGGTAATGTTCACTCCTTCTGCCTCCGCCATGCTGCCCGCTGGGTTGGGAAGCTTCATGCTCTCGTCCAGAGGCGGGGTTTTTATGCTCTTGGCCCTGGTTCACTAGATCTTTTATTTCCTTGGTTCCCTGTTCCAAGGCTCGTGTTTCTCAGGTTGTCCAGTATCATATTAAGTCTAGCAAGCCTGTGGTCTACTCTCATGCCCATGATGTTTGTAAGTATGCTGCCCTCTCAGTGCTCTCTGATAACATGTCCTAAGCTGATATTTGGGCTTGGGGGTTTTGGCTGTCTAACAGGGTCTTGGCAGCCAAGTATTTAGCTAATGTCCCAGGGCCTCGTCATGCTTATGTTGCCTTGGGTCGACTCTCTCAACCAGCCATCTCTTTTTGAGTGCCTGCAGTCTCTTCTCCTCCCTGGTGAGTCCCTGGTTTTCAGTTTCTGTGGGTAGTTAGTTTCAGGGAGTCACACAGCCCATCCTCTAAACAAAGCCCCAAAGTTCGTTCCATGCACCCACCAAACCCCCTGTTTTTTAATAAAAAATGGTTTACACACGACTCACAACTGATGATGTCCGAACACTTCCAGAACAAGTGCTTCCCTGATAACTTTTGTTCGAACGACAACTCTGTAAATGCTTCACCCACATACTACGAATACAAATAATCGCCAACAGAACCTAAACACCTAACCAGTGCCTAAATATACACAATATGCTAATATTTAATAATATTAATTTATATTTGAGAAAAGCTGTTTTGAATGAACAGAATGTTAAAATTGATGAATGCGTCTTTGGGATCGACCACTGGATAGAATGCCTGGTTGCCTGGTTGATGGGGTTCTGGGAGTTCTTCTACTCCCCATGCCCGGCCCGAGGCTATGCTTGACTTGTGAGAGTTTGGTCCACTAGGCTGTTGCTTGGAGCGACCTACATGCCCACATATCCACCACAGCCCGGTTGGTCCGGCACTCCTTGGAGGAAACAATCTAGTTTCCTCTTGAAGATGTCCACGGTTGTTCCGGCAACCATTGACATGGTCTGAGGATGGGGTCGAGTCATAAGAGGCTCTTCCAGAAAACCAGTATTAAAGTATTGAAACGCCTCTTTCTGGATGAGCTCCGGTGGCTCCCTGATTTTCTCCCTTTCTTTCAGATTCGTCAGCTGGTGTTTGTCTTCACATCTCCTCTAGGACTATATCCTCCCTATCTCCCCCAGCTTGGAGGGCTGGGGGTGATAGGGAACTCCACCTTCCCCATCATGCTAGTTTCAAGAGATTCGACAATTTTCTGGGAAAATCCCCTTCGGCTCCCTGGAGATATCCAGGCTGACATGGATATTATTGGTTTTCTGGCATCAGTCAAAGTGTATGGAGTTCGGCCTTCCGGAGACAATGAGCCAGAACCTGGCCCCCCTCAGATGAGGCACAAGGAGCAATTGCTTATAGAAACTCCCGTGTGGTTGGGAGCATTCTGTGTCTGCCATCGACCGGGTCTGGCACCCAGAAAGGTAGGTGCCCCAAAACAAACCCCTATTCTGGTGAAAATATTGCTACCGAAAGCCGAACGAGTGGACAGAACTCCCTAAACGAAAGGTAGCAAATGAGCATGATGTCATCATGTTGCCGCGACGCTGACTGAGCAACCCCCCCCCCCCCCCTCCCCGGGAAGGGGGAGCCGCAGACCCTCGCGCCGGCGATCCAACCGACAGTTCTTGGCTGATGTGATACTGGCAGGTCATGTACCTCTGGGTCCTGAATTGGTCTCAGTTTCTGTGCCTTGTGGTGTGGTCTGTCTCTAGAGGTTGTGTGTGAGCCAGGAGTAATATTTACAGTACACAGGCTGCATGCACCTAGGGTTTCCTTCCCTAGATGCCCTGTAAGTACTGCCCTTGGGGCTTGGGGGCCACCTTACATAAGACACCTTGGGACCTACCTCCGCTGTGTCTTTTACTACTCAGTACTTGGCTGCCCTTGGAGTCGGCTGGGGTTTTTGTTACCCTTATTTGCCTCTAGGTAGGAGGTAGGTTTCATCACTGGTAGGGGCACAGGGTACTGCATTGCTAGTTATCACCTATTATAGCGACTGGCTCTGTTCTGCCTGGGGATGTTGTCCTCTTGCAGGGGTTTTCTTTTTTGTTTTCCTGCCTGGTGAGGGTCTACCTTTGTTGGTTGCCCACTATAAGACCTGGGGGGGTCTTTATTTTGATATATATATCTGTGTTCTTGGTGGTACCCCCTGCTAGGCGCCCCCCCCCCCCCCCAGTGAGTGGACACATCCCGGGGGCTCAGTTTTTAGAAGTTTGCTTGGTAGTGTTGGGTGCTGGTTCACAGTACACTGCCTGGACTTCCCTTAGCTTTTACCAAGGCTAAGGGCCCTGGGAAACCCCACGGGGGCTCCGGGATCTGATGGATGTGACCTTTGAGTCCCCTCTAGCTTCATGCAAGGTTGATGGTTGCTCTGTCCTGTTGTCTCGGGGTGACAATCACCGGTTGTGCCTCGGCCATGCTGCCTGTAGGGTCGGTGATTCTTTTGAACCTGAGTCGTGCAACGTTTTTGTTTGTACGTGCTCCAGTTCACCCAAGCTATTGATCATGATATGAGGGTGCAGGCAGCAGCTGCGTTGCTTGCTAGATTCAGGTTACTGCAACACAATAGGTTGGTCGCTTTCCCGGATGCCCCAAGACTGCCCTGTTATGGTTTTAGGGATGCGAACTTGGGGGTGGGAGTCGCTTCAACTTTGGTTCCATCCGCCTCCTTTGCCCCCATGTCCTTTCCCTTTTGTTGATAATCCAGTTCTGTCCCACCTTGCTCCCGGCTCCGAAACATCTGAGGGTTTTTGAGCCGGGGGCAGGGTCTAGTTGGTGTTGAGACTCGGGCGGTCTTGGGGGAGTCCCCTTCCGGGGGTGGCGGCGAAGGCATTCGAGCCTAATCCTCCTGTCAGAGCTTCTGGGTTTGACCAGTGAGCCCCCTTTGTTCCTGCTTTTTTGGTTGCTCCTGCCTTTTCTTTAGAGGTAGGGGTTTGGAGGATAACTCGGCCCCGGGGCCGGGTAAGGGTTGACTTGGGGGCCTTGGGCCCCATTGGACCCACCTGGGTTTTTGTACCCTCAGAGTGGGGTTTGGTGTTAAAAGGAGGTGGGGTTCTTTTTCGCTCCCTCCTCGTACTAATTGGATTTGGCGTCTACCCCTCCCTGGGTTCGGTTCCGTGACCCCGACGGTTCTTCGGTTCCGTGACCCCGACGGTTCTTCGGTTCCGTTCTTCCAGAGGTTTTCGGTTTCCCGCGTCCCGTCCCATGTGGTTCAGGAAGCCCTTGCGACTTACCTCCTGCGCGACCTGGATTATGCTTTCATGGTGGTTTCTGTTCCTTCGTGTATGGATCTTCGTGTCCTTACTGGATTCGTTATGAATTCCGGAGTCATCCTGGTTTGCAGACTGCCCTCTCTTCTATTTGGAAAAGAGGCATACATTCTGTTGATCCCCACGCTTGAGTGGCGGGAGACTCGGACAACATTGCAGGTTTTCCTGGGGGGCGAATTTGAGCATCTCAATGCGTGCTTGTTTGCCCCTGCCCTTCCGCAGGATGTTTGAGTGATGCAGCTTCATGTGCAGCTTCCTTCCCTTTCGGCTGCATTGGTCGCTGAGGATTTGCATACACGTAGCCTGCTGGCTTCTGAGTTGTCCTTCTGGCTCCTTGGTGGCCGGCCCAGCCTTGGTTTCAGGCGCTGCTTGCTCAGTATCCAAACCCAAGGGTCTTCCCGTGGCTCTGCCTCTTTCCGCAGATCGGTCAAGCCCGGTTTGAGGCTGGTTCATTCTTCTTTTCGAGTCTTTGCGTCTGGAGTTTCTGACTCGGGTTTATCATCACTTGTATGGGGCGCAGGTGGCTTCGTTGTTGGTCTCTCACCTGCGTGCTTTGTCTCGGCGGCACTGTAGTTCTGTCCACTCGTTCGACTTTCGGTAGCAATATTTTCACCAGAGTAGGGGTTTGTTTTGGGACGCCTACCTTTCTGGGTGCCAAACCCGGTCAATGGCAGACATAGAATGCACCCAACCACATGGGGATTTCTATAAGGCATTGCTCCTCGTGCCTCATCTGAAGGGGCCAGGTTCTGGCTCGTGGTCCCCGGTATGTCCAACTCCATGCACTTTGACTGATGCCGGAAAACTAATAATATCCATGTCAGCCTGGATATCTCCGGGGAGCCAAAGGGGATTCCCCCACAAAAATTTTCAAATCTCTTGAAACTAGCATGATGGGGAAGATGGAGTTCCCTATCTCCCCCAGCCCTCCAAGCTGGGGAAGATAGGGAGGTCCTAGTCCTAGAGGAGATGTGAAGACAAACACCAGCTGACGAATCTGAAAGAAAGGGAGAAAATCAGGGAGCCATCGGAGCTCATCCAGAAAGAGGCACTTCAATACATTCAATGCTGGTTTTCTGGAAGAGACTCTTGTGACTCAATCCGTCCTCAGACCAAGTCCAATCTATCCAGTGGTCGACCCCAAAGATGCATTCATCAATTTTAACATGCTATTCATTCATAACAGAGCTTTTCTCAAATATAAATTAATATTACTAAATATTAGCATATTGTGCATATTTAGGCACTGGTTAGGTTAGGTTAGGTGTTTAGGTTCTGTTGGCGATTATTTGTATTTGTAGTATGTGGGTGAAGCATTTACAGCGTTGTTGTTCGAACAAAAGTTGTCAGCGAAACACTTGTTCCGGAAGTGTTCGGACATCATCAATTGTGCATCGTGTGTAAATCACTTTTCGTTCAAAAACAGGGGGTTTGGCGGGTGCATGGAATGGACTTTGGGGCTTTGTTTAGAGGATGGGCTGTGTGACTCCCTGAAACTAACTACCCACAGAAAGTGAAAACCAGGGACTCACCAGGGAGGAGAAGAGACTGCAGGCACTCAAAAAGAGATGGCTGGTTGAGAGAGTCGACCCAAGGCAACATAAGCATGACGAGGCCCGGGGACATGGCGATCACGTCTCCCCGAGCTCTTCTGTCTTCCAGAGACGTGAGGTGCAGTTTCCTCAGCCATTCCTCATAACTCGTGCCTCTTAATTCTGGGACTAGCCTAGTGGCATACTTCTGAACTTTTTCCAGCTTCGTCTTGTGGTGTGGCACCATGTCGTCTTGTCATTTGGGGTCAGGACTTGTTGGGATGGTCATCTCCGACCACATGTTGATGCCTGCTGGGGTTTCCCTATTGTTGGAGTGTCTCCTGCTTCTCTATAGCTGGTATGCTCTCTTATGCGGGTGTTGGGGCATTGTTACCCTCCAGAAAACAGCCACATGGAAATAAATGGGAAGGAGGCTCCCTTAAATTTGTTTCCTTGTGGCTTTTTTTTCTTGAGGCCTCCATTTGCCATTTGTTTTTGCTCATCATGTCTATTAGTTCGACATTCTGTGTTGAATGCATATTTCTTGTTAATTTAAGCAAGCGTTTTCCTCATCGTTTGAATACCCCTCTTTCATGTCAGAAATCCAATCTTGTGTCTGCATTATGGGGCTATCTATCCCTCCATTTGATGGCTGAGGTTTGGCATTCTATCTATTTCTATCATTGTCTATATATTTGGAAAGTACTCTGCAATAAGAAAGCATTTGATGAGTGTTTATATGAGTAACTGATAAATGTTTTATACTCAATACCAGGTAGAAGCTGGAGCTGTTCTGCTCCTGAGATTTGCTCTAGATGACTCTTCACACCTTGTGTACAGTGAAGCTGTTCGAGGATTGTTCTACCTGATAGCCAGTGAACCTGATGAACAGTGCTTGGCCTTGGCACAACCCTGGGTTCCTGCTGGGCTGGAGCCAGGAATAGCCAGTGATATTCATGCCAGTGAGAAGGTACAGTATATTGACTACTATGCATTTAGAATCCAAAAATTAATAGAAAGATTTTCTGGAGATGTGTATGATAATATTGTATAGATACATTAACACCATGACGTCTACCCTGCATCCAACTGAACAAATGTAAATAATTTATATTTCTGGGAGGAGCCCCTTCAGCTCCCCAGAGCTATTTAGGCTGATATGTAATATATTAGATTTTGGCATCAGTCAGTGTGAATGAAGTTCATAGGCCTACCGGGGACCACAAGCCAGAACCTGGCCCCCTCAGAGAGCCACGAGGAGTAATGGCCTATAGAAGTGCACATGTGATTTGGAGCATTCCATGTCTGCCAACAACTGGGTCAGGCACCCAGAAAGGTAAGCATCCCAAAACAAACCCATATTCTGCTTGAAACTACTACAGAAAGTCAAATGAGTGGACAGAACCTCCCAAAGAAAAACAAGCAAACGAGCACGACGTCACCACTTGCCACACCGCCGTCTCCGCAGCTCGGGGAATTCGCAGCAAACAATAAGTAAAATTATTCCCAGTTCCCATGTAAGCAGGAGATAGAATGCAGATAATTACAGTTTTTAGATTTCAGAAAATTATTGTAGTACTGGGGAAAGATTCACGAAGCAGTTACGCAAGTACTGTACTTATGAACGTGTACATCTTTCCTCGATCTTTGACGGCTTTGGGGACATTTATTAAACAGTTTACAAGCATGAAAAATTACCAATCAACTGTTGTTATTGTTATAAACAGCCTCCTAATGCTTCGGAGCTCTTTAATTTAACTGTAAAATAATTTTAAACAAAGCCGCCAAAGATTGGGAAAAAATGTACAGGTTCATAAGTGCTTGCGTAACTGCTTCGTGAATCTTGGCCCTGTACTGTATTTTGTGATGCACATAATGTTATTGAATTGTTTCAGGCACGGCTAGAATTGGACCAAGAGGAACAAGAGTTAAAAGACTACGAAATAGTTAAGTTGGATGTGATTCGAGCATTGGTTAGAATGGATACACACATCAGGCTCAGGTATTTATATGTTGCATTTGGTTTGATCATTTATGTATTTCTTGTCTACAGTATGATATTTTGTAACTACAAAACATCGAAAACTCGTGTAAAACTGCAGTAAAATAACAGGTTTCTCTTGTTACACAGTGACAACTTGTAGTGGTAAAACAGGCCTCTCTTGTTACACAGTGACAACTTGTAGTAGTAAAACAGGCCTCTCTTGTTACACAGTGACAACTTGTAGTAGTAAAACAGGCCTCTCTTATTACACAGTGACAACTTGATGTAGTAAAACAGGCCTCTCTTGTTACACAGTGACAACTTGATGTAGTAAAACAGGCCTCTCTTGTTACACAGTGACAACTTGATGTAGTAAAACAGGCCTCTCTTGTTACACAGTGACAACTTGATGTAGTAAAACAGGCCTCTCTTGTTACACAGTGACAACTTGTAGTAGTAAAACAGGTCTCTCTTGTTACACAGTGACAACTTGATGTAGTAAAACAGGCCTCTCTTGTTACACAGTGACAACTTGATGTAGTAAAACAGGCCTCTCTTGTTACACAGTGACAACTTGATGTAGTAAAACAGGCCTCTCTTGTTACACAGTGACAACTTGATGTAGTAAAACAGGTCTCTCTTGTTACACAGTGACAACTTGATGTAGTAAAACAGGCCTCTCTTGTTACACAGTGACAACTTGTAGTAGTAAAACAGGCCTCTCTTGTTACACAGTGACAACTTGTAGTAGTAAAACAGGCCTCTCTTATTACACAGTGACAACTTGATGTAGTAAAACAGTCCTCTCTTGTTACACAGTGACAACTTGTAGTAGTAAAACAGGTCTCTCTTATTACACAGTGACAACTTGTAGTAGTAAAACAGGCCTCTCTTGTTACACAGTGACAACTTGTAGTAGTAAAACAGGCCTCTCTTATTACACAGTGACAACTTGTAGTAGTAAAACAGGCCTCTCTTGTTACACAGTGACAACTTGTAGTAGTAAAACAGGCCTCTCTTATTACACAGTGACAACTTGTAGTAGTAAAACAGGCCTCTCTTGTTACACAGTGACAACTTGTAGTAGTAAAACAGTCCTCTCTTGTTACACAGTGACAACTTGTAGTAGTAAAACAGGCCTCTCTTGTTACACAGTTATGTAGTCATGTAGTGAAACAGGTTTCTCTTGTTTCATAGCCACAACTTAATGTAGTAAAATAATAAGGACATGAACAGTAAGGACAAAGTTCAGGCTCCCACACAACTGCTCGAGCAACTGCTGAGTCACCCGGTGCCTGCTCAACACTAAGCAACGGCAGTGCTGCAGCTGGAGCAAGGCCACCGGAGGCAGGGAAAGCAATGCCGACTTAGAATCCGAAATTAGACCCCAGCCAAATCTGTACCTGTGATGGAACCAACTGGGACATCTGCCAATTCACCGGGAACCCAAGCCCGGCAAGCTGGGAAAGAACCACATTCCTGCTAGCAGACACGGTCACTAGCTGGGAGCCCACACCGGCCAGTAAACGGGACAACCCAAAAACAGAAAGTCTGCGGCCCCATGACAAAGCCTAACCAATCCCTGAACCTCGGATGAATAGGGATGTGCCAGTATGCATCCCAGAGTTCCAGGAAGGTCATCAAAGTGCCCGGCTCAAGAATGAGACGGGCCTGGCACAATGTGGTGAAGGAATCAACCAGTTGAACCTGGACAGGTCGAGAATGAACTGGAGATCTGGAGAGTCCGGTGTTAGAACTGGAAACAGACGAGAAGTCACAATAACGTGGCTGAAATGTTGACCAAACCACACACTAGAAAGTGAAGGGACGACAACGTTTTGGTCCGTCCTGGACCGAATTCTCAAGTCGATCACATCCTGTCAAAGGGGCGACCCTCAAAAGGCCAATGCAAACCATGAGTCAGCCTTCTGAACAGAGCCTTCTCACAAGTCTAGCCTGGCCTCAGGCTGGGCTTGGGGAGTAGAACAACTCTCAGAACCCCATCAAGCAGGAGTGGGCACTGTGCCAACCAGGTAAAAAATTGGCTGCAGGAAGCACATTCGTCCCAGCATCTGGCTCCAAGGATGACTTGCTCCAACCAACAGCAGGTGATGCCCTTGCCCCATCAAACTGCTGTGGGAGGCCAGTATGACCCCCACGACCACACAGTAAGTCAGAAATAAGCTGACAAGCCGTGTTTGTAGATAACAGGAACCGGGAAACAATATCCTCCAGAATTAGGAGGGAAAAGGGAGAAGCGGACATGAGAATCAGGGGTCCACGCAAAGTCCAAGGACTGGGCCATTACAGACAACCAAAACCTGAAATGGAAGGCAAAAATGGCCACTGCCACCCAGAGGATCGGAGCACACAGCTTGAGGCCACCAACGCAGCTGCAGCAGAGGCCAAAACCCCTGTAAGAGGAACCTCACTGAGTGCTTCTAATGGCCACCACGAGCCAATCAGATTGCAGCATCAGAAGGCTTTAGAAGTACACGACAGAATTCAAGTATGAAAGAGTACAAAGGTCGTCTGCAACCAACGTAGCAGACAACTGAAGGTTTGAGCATGAGAAAAAAAGCAAGTAATGAGAGGCTCAAAAAGAGTTCCCCAGAAATACCTGCAGCACAGACACCTCCCTCCCCTCAAGCGTGCGGGAATGGCAGAAACAGTGCCAAACCCCAGAGGTGATCAAATGAGTCTGCTAGTCAGGACAACTCTGGAACCTTGCAACACACCCAGGAGGAAGAAGAATCGAGCTTAAAAGAGGCCGGGTCTGTATCAAGGTGTAATCTAGGTCTCGCAGGAGGTACTCACAAAGGACCTTCTGAGCCACTGTTGGGGGACTCAAGTGGTGGGAAACCTCCAGGACAAAACTGAACAACCCAAAGTCATTCGGAAACAAAGCCTGGGGAGGGGGGGGGGGGCACCCATTTTGAACACATACAGGGAGTGGAGAAAAGAAAACCCCTCCCCCATAACAAAAGAACCTCTGCAGATGGTACCAGACCCCATGAAGGGCCAGACAGAACCCAAGCGCCCCACATCGACTCCCCTCCCAGCAACAAGACCCACAGAAGAGGGCCCTGGAACAGAGCCAACGTCCACCACCTGTGATAGAAAAGTGGAGTCCAAAGGAGAGGTCTTAGAAGAGGAGGGCCGGCTGGAAAGACCCAGAAGCCTCGATGGGAACAGTAGGCTCAACTGCCTTCCTGCCCAAGTCGAAAGTAGCAAACCCCAACTCTGAACCCTCAGATGCTTCGGGATCGGTAGCAGAGGAAGGAAGTGAAGGGCACACACGGCTGCAAGAGTAGGAAGAAGTGTGAATGAATCAACGGTTCAGATAATCCCTCCCTTCCCCCCACTCCCCCGCCCTCCATAACCTTAACACAAAGCGCGGTAAATCCAGGACCTCCAACTGAGCACACAACCTAGACCACTTCAACACAGAAAATTGCAAAACATCTGGCTGCTGTCAGATACCTTAAAACTACATCAGGAGAGTGGGTAAGGAGAGTGTGTTGGGAAAAAGTCCCACACGACTCTGGGTCGAAGGTGTCATCGACCCATCAGGCAGCATGACAAGGTCAAATGTTACCAACAGTATCACCTCACTATAATTACTACTTCATACACAAGCAGCTGCTTATAGAACATTAATTCTTTCAAAAGCAGTTTCTACTAAATTAAATAATCCCTGAAAGAATGAACATCACCTGGTGGCACAGACGACGGACAAGCAATTCGTACAAAGCCAGAGCAGACTCGGCAGAGGTATCCATAGTACCACTGAACCTGCAGGGTGAGTGCTCCCTGTATGTATGCCCAGGCATGGAGAAATACTACACCAGTAAGACTGTATAGTTGAATAGGCACTCTTGAAACCCAATGCAGGCAGAAATGGTAAGAGAAAGACCAAAGGGGGATGATCTGCACCCAGACTCTAGGTTAAACCTAATAGCAGCAGGAACGGTACGAATAAAACCCCGAAGTGGAATGCTGCAAAAATTTAACTAAAAAGCCCCTGAAAGGACCGAAGAATGAAAACAAGGACTGCAAGTTCTCAAGGCACCAGACCATGGAGAACAAGTAAACAAGGGAGAATCATAGACCCAACCAGGTATATAAAGCTGGAAGGACTACCTCGGCATGCAAGCATGGTCGCACAAACCACAGTGTGCCCCACCAGCCAAAAACATCCTCGGACCGAAGAAAGACACAGTCCAAGACAATTGGCTTACCTGAAGGGGGAGGGTCACCACAAGTGGGCAGACCCTTTAAAGGGTAAAATCCCAAACGCTCCAGGGAAGATAACCCCCTGACAGCAAAGGGTCAACACCTAAATGGAGCACATAGGGAAGGTAACCCTGGGCACATGCTGTGCCAAATACACTAAACTCTTGGGTCACGCTGCACAACCGTGCACAGGAAAAAACATTGACAAAACACCAATTAGCCTAAGACAGGAGACCGGAGTCCGAACAAACTGAGAGGGTAACCAGGCACAGTACACACAAGAACTGGTGGAGCAGCAGCTAGCTGACCCGGTCTTCCTCCTCCTTCCCTCTCCCCAAATGAGAGGAGAGGAGGTGAGGTAAACTAGCTCATACTACTTTCACAAATTTTTGATAACTTGTTTACATTGTTGGAGTAGTTCTTTTGTCTGTTTTGAGGCTGCGGTCTCATTTCTAACCAAGCAGTGGTGTGTTTTGTTTCACTGACTTACTGGGTGCCTTCCCTTGGTGATGGCAGACATGAATAAATTTACATAAAATTTTTCATACATGCCTCTGCTCCCAGTGCTTCTCTGAGGGGGCCAGGTTCTGGCTCGTGGTCCCCAGTAGGCCAGATAAGAACTCTGCGACTGATGGCACTTAGTAGTATAGCACTATTATCAGGATAGTAGCTTCAAGGAGAAACTTCTTTAAAACAATGCTTCCTATTTCTCCATCACATTATCCAAATCAGAATGAGTCATTACATTGGAATGCCAACCCGCAGGTACATGTTGGAGACCATCAAGCCAGGTCCCGAGGCAGTAATAAACATCTTGGGAATCTTAACTCGCATGATCCGTCACTCTCTTACTGCTGCCTGGACACTGGCTCGGACACCCCGCCTCATCTCTGTTATTGTGGACAGTTTCCTTCCACACAATGTGTCTCCTCTGCTGACAGGCGAGAGCGTGGACTCAATGTCCTGTGTGTATGGCATACCTCTGAGGCATGCGCTCTATCTGTTAAAGGTAGGCTGCATCTCTTGAATTAAATACTATAAAATATATTTTATTACTGTTATTTGGCATAATTTATTGCGTCTGGTGGTGATGGCTTGTGGGAGCTGGTATAATCAGCTTCATAACAGTCCTTCGTCTTAACTATTCTCAAACTTAGTTCTCTTCCAACAGTTTGTTACAATATGTTCATAGAAAAGTTAACTTAAGAGTAATAGTATAAATAATGTCCTAATTGTTTTGCTTTCTGAGCTCTTTCAAGTCCACTTGAAAGACCAAAGACAAAAAGTTCCCTGACCCCTATGCCACATCTATACGTAATGCAAGGTCAACAATGTGCATCGACACAGCAAGGTAACAAGAATATGAATGACAGCCACAGTACACTACTGTGAGTACATCAAGAGGCAAACATTGGTGGAAACAGTGCATGAGCAGTAGGGCTGAAGCACTTTAAGTGGGAGTGAAGTTTTAATGCTTTTGTACAGACAACAAGCTATTATGAATATTATTATAAACAAGTTTGTGTAGCAGTGAAGATGCCACCATGAATGATCCAGGAGTGAGGTAGTTCTGAGGTCCTTGTTGTTGTGATGAATGTGGTAGTACTCGCCTAGTTGTGCTTGTGGGGGTTGAGCTTTGTCTCTTTGGTCCCGCCTCTCAACTGTCAATCAACTGGTGTGCAGATTCCTGAGCCTACTGGGCTCTATCACATCTATATTTGAAACTGTGTATGGGGTCAACCTCCACCACATCACTTCATAGTGCATTCCATTTATTATCTACTGACACTGAAAAAATTCTTTTTAACATCTCTGTGGCTCATCTGGGTACTAAGTTTCCACCTGTGTCCCCGTGTTCGTGTTCCACCCGTGCTGAAGAGTGTGTCTGTCCACCCTGTCAATTCCCCTGAGAATTTTGTAGGTGGTTATCATGTCTCCCCTTACTCTTCTGTTTTCCAGGGACATGAGGTTCAACTCCTTTAGCCTTTCCTCGTAACTCATTCCTCTTAGTTCCGGGACGAGCCTGGTTGCATACCGCTGAATCTTCTCTAACTTTGTCTTGTGTTTAACTAGGTATAGACTCTAGGCTGGAGCTGCATATTCCAGGATTGGTCTGACATAAGTAGTATACAGGGTCCTGAACAATTCCTTATACAAATTTATAAAGCCAGTTCTTATGTTGGCCAACCTAGCATATGCCGCTGATGATACTCTTTTGATGTGGGCCTCTGGGGACAGGTTCGGTGTGATATCAACCCCCAGATCTTTCTCTCTATTTGACTTTTGCAGGATTTCACCTCCCAGATGGTACCTTGTGTTCAGCCTTCTGCTCCCTTCGCCTAATTTCATTACTTTACACTTTCCTGAGTTGAACTTTAGCAGCCATTTTCTAGACCATTCCTCCAGTTTGTCCAGGTCATCCTGTAGTCTCTGTCTATCTGCATCTGTCTTGATTCTTCTCATAATTTTTGCATCATCAGCAAACATTGAGAGGAATGAGTCTACACCCTCCAGAAGATCGTTTACATATATTAGAAACAGGATGGGTCCAAGTACTGAGCCCTGGGGGACTCCGCTGGTGACATCTCGCCACTCTGATGTCTCCCCCCTCACCATTACTCGCTGTTTCCTATTGCTTAGATACTCCCTTATCCACTGGAGCACCTTCCCTTTTACTCCTGCCTGCTGCTCCAACTTTTTTAACAGCCTTTGATGGGGTACTGTGTCAAAGGCTTTCTGGCAGTCCAGGAAAATACAGTCTGCCCACCCTTCTCTTTCCTGCCTGGTCATAGAATACTATTAAACCTGTGAGACACGATTTACCATCTCTGAACCCATGTTGGTGGTGTGTTACAAAGCTATTTCCCTCCAGATGCTCTACAAGCCTTTTCCTCATGAGTTTCTCCATCACCTTGCATGGTATACAAGTTAGGGAAACTGGCCTGTAGTTCAGTGCCATGGTGGGTCCTTGTTGCTGTGTTGGGTGTGGTAGAGCCAGGTATTTATTATTCTGGCAAGTGTGGTAGTGCCAGGTCCTTGTTGTGTAGTTACAGGATGAGAGCTATGCTCGTGGTGTCACGTCTTCCCAGTAATCTGTCATATAACGCTTTGAAACTACTGATGGTTTTGGCCTCCACCACCACCTTGCCTAATTTGTCCCAACCATCTACCACACTTTTTTTTGTGAAAATGAATTTTCTTATATTTCTTTGGCAGCTTTGTTTAGTTAGTTTAAATCTATGACTTCAATAACAGAAAGTTTCAGGTCCCAGGAATTTTTCCATATCAATTTTATTGATAAGTTACTTTTTTGTATGTAGTGATGAGATCGCGTCTTTCTTCTATATTCTAGTTTTAGCATATTTAATGCCTCTAACCTCTCCACATAGCTCTTGTCCTTCAGTTTCAGGAGCCATATTGTGCTCCTGGGAGAGCCATATTGTGCTCCTGGGAGAGCCATATTGTGCTCCTGGGAGAGCCATATTGTGCTCCTGGGAGAGCCATATTGTGCTCCTGGGAGAGCCATATTGTGCTCCTGGGAGAGCCATATTGTGCTTCTGGGAGAGCCATATTGTGCTCCTGGGAGAGCCATATTGTGCTCCTGGGAGAGCCATATTGTGCTTCTGGGAGAGCCATATTGTGCTCCTGGGAGAGCCATATTGTGCTCCTGGGAGAGCCATATTGTGCTCCTGGGAGAGCCATATTGTGCTCCTGGGAGAGCCATATTGTACTCCTGAGGAAGCTCAATATATATGTATGGTCCACATACATATATGTATGTATGGGCATTTGGTAACGCCCAGTGTGTTGAGTTTGGTCGTGCTGGGTCTTGGTGGTTGTGTTGAGTGTGGAAGGTGTGCTGATGAATAGATTTTTAGGTTCTTAATGAATGGGTGTTATAGAATTATTGAGGATTCTGAAAATCCTCAATAAATGGATAATGGATGGGTGTTATTCTGAGGATAATGAATGGGGTGTTAAAAGATTATGAATATTGAGTGATGGGTGTTACTGTACTCTTGTATCCTCTGTAGGCAAGTGTATAAAGAGCTAATGATCTTGATTAGCTATTTTAATACAGGAAGAAGTAAGGATGGGATGCAGCTTAGAAAGCAGTATAATGGAGTGGTTGTGTAAATCCTTCTACTGTACTTGTAAATAGCAGATACTAGTGAAGTGTGAGTTTAAGAGAGAGAAGCTCACGACATTGGAGACGAGTCATCCGAGGCGGGTCTGGTGTTGGCTCATAGAATAAGAACTGATGTTGTCATGGAAAGATGTGAGTTAGTTTCTGTGTGGTAAGAGTGAGGAGAAAGATCTGTACTAGTAAAATAGTTCAGTTATCATGAACAGATGAATGATGCATTATTATAATTGGAAGGTATAAGGAGGAGAGGAAGAGTGAAGATAGTTATGCTGAGTAGGAGACACCATGGATTGAGTGTGGACAGAGCACAAGAAGCGTGGAAGAATAGATTTGAGAGGAAGCTTCTTGGGAGAGTTAATCATTGACTCTCATTTTAATCATTAATCATTTTCCCAGTTGATGACAGGACTAATGAAAAAGAGGATAACCCCACTCACGATAAGTTGCCTTGGCAAATTGATTGTTTATGGTAATTCACAAAGATTGTGAATAATTAAATTTACTGAGGATTTTATCAACAGTTTGGAACCATTTTCTACAGTCGCCCTGAAAAACAGGACATTTACTAGATGACTAAGCAGGACACTACAGTTTGGACATTAAAGGCCTGGGTTTTGCTCCATTAAGTACTTAAGAGTTATTCTTATGTAGCCAATACATAACAGGACTAAGAACATTTCACATTTTCTATTTTGGTTAAATGAAGAAAGCAATGGGGAGATATATTATGTTCCATAAAATATGATCTATCTTTGTAACTGCCAATTAATCTACCAACATTTGCATATAACATGCTTTACAGGGTAGAATTCTGGATAGGGGATGGGTTTTTGGAATAGGAAATGTTTGAATGACAGACTGCCACATTTGTTAGGCAACTGAAGCAACACTAATATGACAGGTGTGGATATTTATCCCACCGATGTATTTGTGAAAGTTCAGGATTAGGATATATGCAATCTTAATCCTGATTAGACGTTGAGATGCAAGTCTCGTCCTAACCACATACTCAGATCCTGACAAAGCACTCAGAGTAATTACCCAAGTGCACTTACAGGATGTGAGCTATGCTCATGGTGTCCCATCTTCCCAGGTACTCTTTGTTGTATAAAGAAAGTATTTGTTATTTATTGTATAAAGAAAGACTTGGTATAAATTCTTTATATAAATATTGCCATTACATTCCTAATATGACTGATGATGGGATAGTTTGGTGGTAACTATGTAACTAATGGGTACTACTGTCACCATTTCAGGTGATAGTTAATGCTTGGTAATAGTTTGTTTTCTTATCCTCAGATCTTGGCAGCCAAGGGTCGGCAGCTGGCAGCCATATTGGTCAACACTTACGATATTATGAGTCGAATCTTGACATACGTATCCCTCGAGCCAAGTGAAGTCAGTATACCTCTCAAGGAAGCATTAACCCTCAGCCAGGAAGCATATGCCTTGTGGGGTGTGCTTTTAAGCTATGGTCTCTCAAAACCCCAAGAAGCCATTACAAGCTTCTACCCAATGTTAGTTAAACAACTTTTGTTTTATAGGGATAAGGTGTCAGTCAATGAAGAGACGGCCAAAAACAAATTTAACTATGATGTAGGAACGCATATGATAACCGTTATGATGCGTGCTGTAAATGTAGCTGCTACACATTCTCTTCTTGTAAATAGAATGAAGTTAAATCAGGGCACAGTGATTGGTGATAATGGCAAGGCAGAGGTGCTAGTGCCACCAGAACTGACATGGAATGACCTCCAAGACCTACCTCAGTTAGTGGAGACATGTTTCACAAAATGGTTAATTCAACTAGTACGAAGCAATGAGACCACATTCTCGGCTCTTAGACTTATGGGTAGCTGTTGTAATTTCTTGGAAGCTTACTATGTTAAATGGAAAGATCAGGCTTCATACAGTAGTGAGGTCTACAACATCAGGATTAAGTATCTTTATAGCAACATAATCTTGCCTGCACTGAACTCTCCAACTTTTAAAAGGTTGATCAATGCCCTTCCAAGTCATTCCTCACTCATTAGCGACTCTGTTCCAGGTAATGAACGTGACCCAAACAATTTGGGTTCATTGGGTTGTGTGACCTTTGGCGGTGAAGTTGTTCGTGTTGTGCAGCCGTCTTCTCCTTACCCTTTGCTGTTGCCACTAACGAACCTCGTGTTGTCACTCCACACACTTCACCCAGCACTTGAGAGTCGATCAACATGTGCCATTTTAGACTCTGATGAAATGTTAACATATTTAAAGAAAGTTTGTTGTTCTACTCAGCGATTGTCTTCACAGTGGCTTACTCGAATTGAGACGCATTTCATATGCAACGTATTACAGCTCGCAGCTTTGATAGGATGTAATAGAAGAAAGTTGTACCATGAAACTGCGATGTGCATGATGTCCTGTATTCACAAGGGAGATGAACACTTAATTAAAAAACTCTTGATGCATGTAATCTGTACTCCAGAGTTTACATCGGATCTAGTTGAGATGAGTACCTATGTGGAGAACTTGGCTCTCAATGATTATGAGCCTCTAACGTCTCCTGCTATAGCACAGCCAGTTCTCTCTCCACTTCATTTGACAGAAAATATCTGTAAGGCTCTAAAGTCAATGGGAAGTGAACTTATAAAAAGTTTGGTCAGTAAAAGAGAATATGACTCCAGTATAGTACTAAAACATGGCATTCCATTCATTATAAATGGCATAACAATAAGTCAGACTGAATTTCCACTTGTTCTTGACAATTACTGGCCTCTGTATCCCATCAAACATGTCTTCAAAATATCCCAGCATCCCCCCCAACCTCAGCAGGTAAAAACAAAACAAGAACACACGAGTGATCAGTCTTCACCTGAGGATCTTTTAACAGTCACGAGGTGCTTACAAATGGCATACCTTGTCCTTAAGCACCGTAGAAACACCACATTGTACACAACCACAAATAGCACCTGGATGTACCACTTATCGTTAGTGTATTTGGTTGCCAGCGACATGTTTCTGGATGCTTGCATTAGCTCAAACCTTCAGGGGTGTGTTGTTGAACTGCTCCGTGATGGGGGCTATGCAAACTTAGACTATAACAGGAAAATTGAGGGTTTTAACTCTTGTATTGATTGGTACAGGAATATGCTGGAGCAGTTTACCAGTGTATCTTACGGTGATTCCACATTTGCTCTGTTCCTTCTCATTCCAATGCAGCAGTATTGGCCTGTGGACTTCCGTCAGTTAGTGTGGAGTGACATGTCTGATGCACTGCAGTTCTTTCGCCTCACTCCAGAACAAGTTGAACAGTTTATCCCCATTTGTCAGTTTGTGGAACCAGCCGAGGAAGATGAAGGAATGATCATCAAGTACAGGTCAGGCATTGGTTGTGGGGCTGTGACTGCAGCACGAAATCCATTTTTGTACAGAGTAGCATCACATCATTGCCATCTGTACCTTACAAGAGAAGCTAATATGCAGAGGCCCGCGACATAAACACACAATCGTTAAGTATAGTTTTTACTAGACAAGTGTAAATTCGAGTGTGTAAATTATTCCTACCGACTGCCTATGTTGGTAGGAATAATGCAAGGTTGACACTGTAAATAGTGTTTATTACTACACAAAAAATGTACTTTTCATAATCTCTTTATGTTCAAGTATGATTATCTGAATATCTTGTAAAAAGGAAATAAAACATTAAACAAAGAACATAGTCTTTGCTTTTCTTATTTTGAAGGATCACTGCTTTTTATAAGCCTCAAGTTTAAATGTGGCTACTGTATAAGGAATTTTACATTGTGACAGAGGAAAGACAGGTTACAATGATGTTATAGAAATTAGGATGTTGGAGAGTATGACAGTTAAGACAAGAAGATTTATATAAAGAACATGGTTTAAAGGGCATGAATTTCTAGAAGCTAGGATAGACAACCATATTGCATTTAAGTACCACTATCAAAAAAAGGCACCAAGTCAGGGAGACTTAAATAACAAGCAACACTGTTGGTGCTACAAAGGCACCAAGTATCACTCGGAATGTCAACATAAGAACATAAGAACATAAGAACAAAGGTAACTGCAGAAGGCCTATTGGCCCATACGAGGCAGCTCCTATTCTATAACCACCCAATCCCACTCATATACTTGTCCAACCCGTGCTTGAAACAATCGAGGGACCCCACCTCCACAATGTTACGCGGCAATTGGTTCCACAAATCAACAACCCTGTTACTGAACCAGTATTTACCCAAGTCTTTCCTAAATCTAAACTTATCCAATTTATATCCATTGTTTCGTGTTCTGTCCTGTGTTGATACTTTTAATACCCTATTAATATCCCCCCGGTTATGTCCATTCATCCACTTGTAAACCTCTATCATGTCACCCCTAACTCTTCGCCTTTCCAGTGAATGCAACTTAAGCTTTGTTAATCTTTCTTCATATGAAAGATTTCTAATTTGGGGAATTAACTTAGTCATCCTACGCTGGACACGTTCAAGTGAATTTATATCCATTCTATAATATGGCGACCAAAACTGAACTGCATAATCTAAATGGGGCCTAACTAGAGCAAGATATAGCTTGAGAACCACACCAGGTGTCTTGTTACTAACGCTGCGATTAATAAATCCAAGTGTCCGATTTGCCTTATTACGAACATTTATGCATTGATCCTTTTGTTTTAAATTCTTACTAATCATAACTCCCAGATCCCTTTCGCAATCCGACTTCGCAATCACAACACCATCTAGCTCGTATCTTGTAACTCTATCATCATTACCTAACCTCAGAACTTTACATTTATCAGCATTAAACTGCATCTGCCAATCCTTTGACCATTTCAAAACCCTATCTAGATCAACTTGAAGTGATAGCGAGTCCTCCTCCGAATTAATTTCCCTACCGATTTTCGAATCATCGGCAAATTTGCAAATGTTGCTACTCAAACCTGAATCTAAATCATTTATATATATTATAAACAACAGAGGTCCCAGGACAGAGCCTTGAGGCACTCCACTTACAACATTTTCCCACTCTGACTTGATTCCATTTATACTAACTCTCTGTTTCCTTTGGTATAGCCATGCCCTAATCCAGCTTAATATAGCACCCCCAATACCATGAGACTCTATTTTTTTAATCAGTCTTTCATGTGGCACTGTATCAAAAGCTTTGCTAAAGTCAAGGTATACAACATCGCAATCCTTACCACTATCAACTGCCTCAACAATGCTAGAATAAAAAGATAACAAATTTGTTAAACATGAACGGCCATTTATAAAACCATGTTGCGACTCAATTATTAATTTATGTTTTTCAAGATGAAGACGAATTTTATTTGCTATTATAGATTCGAGTAAACATGAGAAGAAAAGCACATATGGCGAGCGATATCAAAGGTATCGGATTCACGAGGGATTCTATCGAGGGACAAATTACCACATGGGACAGTTGGGAAGCAAGACAGGAACGTCCTGAAAATCATGACAATCTGCAAGACTGTAAGCGGGACAATGCAGCTCACACAATAAGAAGCAGGGTGGCATTCTATTAAATGCCTAGGTGTCACCAGAGCCATTTCCCAATGAGTATTAGTGGTGGGAGGAAGACTAAGGGGACACACTACCCTTATGAGAATGCAGTTTGTTATTTTTAACACAAAAGCAATGACTCTGCGAACAGTCTTTGAGTGAGCAATGGATGACTGGGTAGAAATCAGAATAGGAAAATATTTTTCAGGAAATAGAACAAGTACGGATAGCTTCTGCTATCCGTACCCGTACTAGCAGTATCCATCAAGAAGATACTGCTTCAGCGGCACTGTCCACATGCCCATGTAAGGGAATACCGATATGACTGAATCCAACAAAACTCAACTGTCTTAAATAAAGATTTAAAAGTCACAGCTTTGTATCATCCTTTGCAGACACATAAATTAGCATGAAAATTACCTCTGCTGAAGACATTATTAATATCTGCTTGAAGTTTTTTAAAGTTTTCGACTGGGCAACAGAAGATAACACGATGTTTAACAGTGATAAATTCCAGGTACTCAGGATGGTAAAAATGAGGACCTTAAACATAATACAGGGTACAAAACACACTCAAATCTGCCCATAGTAGGAAAGCAGCATGTAAAGAATGAGAATAATGATGTCTGACGACCTAACATTCAGGGAGCACAACCAAGCAAATATTGCATCAGCCAGAAAAATGATAGGATGGATTACAAGGCCTTTCAAATCCAAGGATAGCATCACAATGGTTGCAATATACAAATCACTTGTACTGTCCCGTCTTCTACTCAATACTCACTTCCCTCTTCAAAGCAGGAGAGATTGCTGAAATGGAGAGAATACGGAGAACACTGTATATGTATGCGGCATACGTAAATGCAATAATCGCATACAGTTCAGCAGTGAATATGCTAGCCTCCAAAGGATGGCAGCACAAAGATTTGGGCCAGAAAGACAGAGTATTCAACACTGTTGGCAGATTTAGACCCATCTGTGAAGAGGGGAACCAGAATTTGAGTGCAAAGAAAAAAGATCAAGGAAAAGGTGTTTCTTATCAATAGGAGGGGTAGAAGTGTTCACCATGTGGGTCAAGGTCTTGATAACTTAACAAGTGGGACCCTCCCTGGGAGGCAAGGATGGACTGACACGAGGAGACACATTGTAAACACACACTTAAAGGGAGGCTTGTGAGACATCCTTGTAGAAAAAAAAGGAAGGTGGTGCAAGGAAACAAGGGCTACCATAGGGGGCAACAGCCAAAGCCCAACAAAAGCGAGAATGAGGATGTTGTAGAGACCATGTGAGGAAGCAAAGGCAGTAATGATACTGATTATTCTCTAGCGACAAGACGATGGTCTCGACATACAAGCTTAGGGTAGAAGAACAAAGGCACCAGAGCAGAGGTACAACCCAGCATGGTGCAGAACATCAAGACAATGAAAGTAAGTAATTATCAAAAAGAAGGCACCAAACCGGGTCAAGACGATGAAAGACCAAAGGAGAAGCAGAGTAGTAGGTTAGGGCAGCCATAATCCAATTTAGGAAGCATGAGAAAGGAGTACCATGTACCATTTTGTGGTGTCCATTCTTTACTTCTAGTTCCTCAGTTATATGTGCTTGTATAAAATACACACTCTCTCACTAGTATGTATATAAGTTTTCATCAAGGTAAAGTCTACAGTTATGTGACTTTTTAAACTTAGTAATGTTCATGGTCGACTAAAAAAAAAAAAATTCTTGCATTAAGTTTACTGAAAAACTTACGGTATAAATTAAGAAGAGACATTATATCATGAGCCCGCCAGGGATGAAAGTGAAGGTTGTTGCAAGAGGGAATGCCAGCCAGGCAGGATAAGATAAGAAGTGACCTTTGGGGCAAGTCTCAACTGTTGCAAAAAGGGAAACCACTACATAGTTGTGATGCTACCTTTAACATCATATATAGGCACATGTGATTGGATTTAGCACCTGTGTTGTGATGCTACTGGGCAGTTCATAGACCTGATGGTCCTGCATGCCTCCCCATGTATGTGTGTGGCTGCATGTCCTAGCAAACTCCTTCAGGAGCCACCGCCGGCATTCTCGTGAGGAACATCATACCTGGCTGACGTGTGTTCTATCCATAGTCCAATAGACTACAGGCCATTACTTCCTCACTGTCAAGTTACCCCTTGTCTCTAATTAAATATACCAGTGATTGCCTTGAATAGTGATCAAGTGTGTGATAAAGATCTGTAGATGAACGAGAATGAAACAGACTGGTATGAGTAAAGATGTGACAATGCGAGATTGTGGTCATCTGTAAGCAGAAGCACCTGTGAGTGACTCGGTGACCTATAGTGAAAGAAGGAAAGTGCTGCCACCTACGTGCTCTATAACTTTACCTCAGACACCTGTCAGAGGTAAAATAACTTAACCGCTGCCACTTGGTGTCCCACCACTCGAATCTCCTGTGTGCGCGTAATTGTCAGCTGCTGCCAGTGCATGCTGCTCCCATACAATACTGTGACATCACCTATTGTCAAACTCACTGCCGTGTATTAGCGCAGCAATGTAGCCTAAGCATGAACCAGCAGAGGAAAGGGTGCATCAGCCAAATAGTGCTCTTCCTCTTCAACAGGGTAGTCCTATTGAATCGACCACTTGCCAGCATTGGTACAAAGATCTCTCCCCCTCAAGCACCAGCTCACACACCCAAAACCTACTTCTGGGAGCAGCCCCTCCAGCAGGTGATCCGATGACCCAAATGGGAAAACTAAGTTACAGTCGTTTCCTGACACACATGATATACCAAGAGGGAAGTTTATTGATAAAATGGAGAGTAGTTGTAGAAATACAAGTGACAAATATCATCCAAATCCTTAGCAATAGATTTGCTGTTTGCCAATGATTTACATGAAAATTGTAGAGTAGGGCGGGTTGTTAGTGCCATGCACAGTTCTTATCTGAAAGAATGGAATTAACCAAGGCCAGTTCAGGATGACTGCAGATGTTTGTCATGAAAATATTGGAACTGCTTTGCCACATCTAGGTCCTCAAGACCAGCCTGCACTAAAAAACATGAACAAATTAATGTTTTATTTTTTTTTGTGAATTGTTTATATTTGTATGTCTGAATATGTAACATACATTATAATAAAATATAAAAAATACAGAAAACAAGAGATATTAGCCAAAAAACCAGCGTTGAAT